GTAGTGTTCCAAGGGAACCCAAAAGCACCTCACAACTCAGATGAGTATCAGAAGTACAACACTGGGGTCACCATGGGCTGCTGGGGAATGTGCATCTATGCATTCAGTGCTGCTTTCTATTCAGGTACTTGCTACAGCTGTCTTAACTACTGCTTTGGGAAAAGATACATTTCTTAAAAGTGATGATTCTGCAACAAGTAGGCCAGTGTTTATGTTGCACACAGCCTACCACATGGCACAAGTGCTGCAGCAGAGTGTTCTTTTTCACCCTGTTACCTCTGCTGCTTGGCTTGGCCTGCACTGACAGCAGGTGAGGTCAGCAGCCCAGTGAAGACACATCTCTCCTAGGATGTGGTTCCTTTCCCAAGTGGCATTTTCAAAGTACGTGGAATGCAGAGATACATGCAGTCACCATAGGCACAATTCCGGTGCACCCAGTGCCTGTGTGTCCCAGCAGAGCACTCGGGTGTCATGTGCCACCCCAGCACTTTGTCATGTGTGTCATGCCTCTGCCTGCCCACCCCCACCAGTTCCCATTTACCCCTCTGGGACAGGGGCACTGCCAGCCTCAGCTCTGCCTTGCCCTCTGTGCAGACAGGGCAGCAATGCTGCATCATGGAAGCCAGATTTGGAAGGGTCCTTGGCACTCACGTGCAAGCCAGCAGTCCCTCAGAGGTGCAGTGGTCCCACTGAGATGTGGCTGCCTGAGCAAGGGTGGACCCCTGAGCCCCACTGATGGGTGGCAGTGGGGAGGGCTGCAGGTCACCCCAGAGCTGTACCATTTTCTCACAGCCGTGCTGGAGAAGCTGGAGGAGCGGTTTAGCACACGGACCCTGTACTTTGTGGCATATTTGGCCTTTGGGCTGGGCACGGGCCTGGCCACGCTCTCCAGGAATGTCTACGTGCTGCTGTCCCTGTGCGCTACCTACGGCATCCTGTTCGCCACGCTCTGCACGCTGCCCTACTCCCTGCTCTGCGACTACTACCAGAGCCGAGAGGTGAGCCCCGGGCTGGGGAGGGGCCCGGAGCCCCGGGACACCCCCTCACTCTGTGGCTGTGTCCCCGCAGTTCGTCGGCTCGCAGGCGGAGGGCACGCGGCGTGGGATGGGCGTTGACATCTCCTTGCTGAGCTGCCAGTACTTCCTGGCGCAGATCCTCGTGGCCCTGGCCATGGGGCCGCTGACGGCGGCCGTGGGCAGCGCCAGCAGTGCCATGTACTTCTCCAGCCTGGTGTCCTTCCTGGGCTGCCTCTTCTCCTCCCTCTGCGTCACCTACGAGCTGCTGCCCGCCGAGGAGCTGCCACCCGTCGAGGAGCAGCGCCCGCTCCTGCCCCGCGCGCGGAACGAGTAAACGGGAGAAGCTGCCACGGCCTCTGCTGCCTCTTTGCCTCACCCTTGGCCTCCCTGTCGCCACAGGCTGTGCCCCTGGGACGGCAGCAGCGGGCTTGGCACACGGGAAGAAAGGTCTGTGCTGGCTTTGCTGGGCTTTCCCCTGCCGGTGGGAAGGTGAGGGTGAGGCAGCGGCGCCTGGCACTGCTCGTCCTGCCCCGAGGTGGCAGAGGCCTGTCTGTGCTCCTGGGGGACAGCAGCAGAGGCTGGGGCCGTGCCCTCCAGTGCCCCGGGGTGCTGTTATCCTGGGGTGACTGCCACTGTCCAGCACGGGGCAGGAGACCTGCAGGTCTGGGGCCTGGGCAGGACAAGCTCCCTCTGTCACTGCTGCTCAGACTGCCACCGTGGGAATGGTGACGTGCCAGGCTGGGGGCAGAAGGTGCCACCTCCTTGGCCAGGCAGAGCAGCTGTGATTCCAAGGGCAGTGGTGATTCCTGGGAGGGAGCTGCAGGTCCTACCTGCAGCCTCTGCCCGTGGAAGGCCTGGCTCTGCAGGGTGCTTTTCAAAACTTTGGGAAGGCTGAGAGCAACTGGCCTTGCTGGGGTGGTGTAAGTCCTCTGTCCAGTGCCACGGGCTTCTGCTGCACAGCGCTCCCACCAGCAGAACTGCTACAAGACACCTCTGTGGGCTGCCAGCACTGTGGCCTGGCTCCCACACCCAGCTCTGGGGGTCCTGGCTGTGGTCCCTGGTGATGTTTGCCAGTACGTGCATATTCCATTCCTCATTAGAGTTCAATTAAGACTACAGGAGTTTGTGATGACTTAGCAGGAGGATTTGTCCATAATCCAATTCAGCAGTTGTCCATAAGCCAGTTTTGGGGAGAAAGGTCTTTTCCCATCAACCTCCCTTGGGCAGAAGGTTACTCTCAAGAACTTTACTCATAAGAAAAATCATTTGTATGGAAGCCTGCATCTCATTGTTCTTGTTTATACAATCTTACCTTGGGACATGCTGAAGTCTGGGGATCAGTGGCTAAGTGCTTGTCAATTACAGCTGCATCTTCCACATCTCAGTGAAACCAGTAAAAGGGCTTTAGGTTTCATTACCTGAGAGATTCCTTAATTATTCTGATTTTAGAAGGTGGTGTGTGAGAATTTTCACAAGTTCTAGTTAAGACCAGGAGTTAATTTTAAGTCATTAATGAAGCTATTTCTAAAGCCCCTGTCAGTCTGCCTCTGTATTTGGGTGGGCAGCCAAGTTCTGCCAAGGTTGGTGTTCACATGTGCTGTGCATGGCATCCCTGTAGAGATGATATTTGGCCCCTAGATCCAGAAGAAGGCTTTTCTCTGGAGAGTCACTCCTTTTAAATGGGTTGTATTTCACTGTTCACCTAAGCTGATTCTGATCTATGATGCCAGTGAAACAATGTGTGTAATCTTTAGTTGTTGTGGCTTACTGTAATCCAGTGCTGAAAGCATAATACATAACTTGTAAGAACCCCTCATTTTTATCATCTGCTCCCAATATTTATATTTTAGAAGCAAGTTTCATATTACTCAATATTGACTTAAACAGAGGAATACTGCTGAAAGTATGAAGTCAAGCACTCAGAGATAAAGGACTGTTAGCTGTCAGACTGATGAGTACATTCACCTTTCATTTCTTTCTTTGGGCTTACATGGTGTCACACCTGCAGGAATATCTGTGCCATTTCCTTCATTATGGGACAGCTGTCTCCAAGAATGTTCAGGACAAAGCTGGGACAAATAACATGAGAAACAATGGCATTTGGCACTTCTGACAATCTAAAGACTTGACTTTGGAAAATTATTCTTTTCTTGTTAGTCTGCTTTGTAATCTTAATTTCTCTTCCTTCTCAAACTTTTAAACTCAAAAGCTATTTTGTTTTTTGTTTGGTCCCACTAGCTAATGTGGTATTAGTTCTTAAAATTTTTTTTCTCCTCTTAAGTTTTGTAGCCAGCATTATTGCACTAAATGGATTGTGAGCACTTTACTTTTCCAGGGAGCTGGAGTTGCAGATGATTTTGTTGTAAGTGAAAATCTTCAAAAAATTCATAAAATCAATGTATTTGATTATGTTTGTCTCCATTTCCCTCTGTAAATAATATCAACTACATTTATGTAGTTATAAAACTATTGCTATGCCTGTATGCCTTCCCCAGTGGACTCTATATGACATTTTTCTATTTCATGGGATATGGACTTTATTTTGCATAGGTGTTTATGTAGTGGTACATACACAGGACTTCTAAGTCAACGTCAGTGTGTTAATTTGGGGCTTTGAGCAATACTGGTGGTGTCTGGAAAAGAACCAGAGCCTGTCACCATCATGCAGAGTTAAAAATTGCACCAAATCCTTAGAAATAACTTTAAAAAGAGGCATTGCTTACTTGCTTATTCTTTTCCTTTGTCAGACATTTTGTATTTTACAGAAATTACTGTGTATGGTCACTGGTGAACTGTGAGCTGCAAGGTGATGTTTCCCTTCTGGAATCCAAAGGCTTCAAATATTCTGTCTAAATTTGCAAGTTACTGATTAAAAAAAAAAGATGCATGAGTTTAGGCAGGAAAATGATTTTATGCTGTGCTGTTTTTCAGTGATGCCTAAAGGTTAATTTTGATTAAGTCCAGATCATTAAAGGTTGCTTCATGGCAATTATTTGTGATGTTTGTAAATGTATTTATTACACTTGTACAGAAGCAGGGAAAATGGGGAGAGGGATGGAGAAAAGACCTAACTGGTTTTCACATGTTTGTAATTCAGCTACCTGTGACCACTTCAGCATGTCTGCAGCTCACTCATCCTCTGCTGTGTCACTCAGAAAAACTTCATGATTTCTGAACTTCTGCTGTTCTTTGGTTGGAAAAATAACTCTTTTCAAGAATAAAATATAATAAAATTTATATCTATAAATATAGTATGTATCTAAGTATATGTAGGGTACATTGGGAAGTATTTAAGTGTTCTCCAGACAATTTATTTTGTACAAATGAGTAATTAAGCACCTTGCACTCTATAGGAGATACACTTCATTAAAACAAGAATATGTGTAAAAGGTAACTTTCCTACCGTGTTCTCCCTCCCTCAGAGGTTGGTTACACTCACAGCTTTCCTGAGGTGCAACACTGGAAACTTGTCTTTGCCTGACATTTGTAGAATCATTTGAGTGTTGCACAAAGGAAACCCCAAAAAGCTCAGGGGGGCATCTAAGGTAGGAGAGACTTTGGTGGGTTTCCTGTCTCTGGGAACAGGGTCAAATCTGGGATTAAATAGTAGGACTTGTAACTCACTCCCCCAGCCCCTCTTTAACGAGACTGAACTCTTTCTCTTTTGCTTTTAAATGAACAAACAGGCCCAGAACCTCTCTGGAGAAAGTAAACAGAAAACCAGCTGCACTTCTGTTTGCATCTGTCTGTGCCAGGCCTGCCCTGAAGCACTGCACTGCTCTGTTACAGCAAATCACAGCCAGGAGGCAAAACTCTGACAAGAGGAGCTGGCCGAAGGCAGCGGGCAAGGGATGTGCCACTGCTGCAGGCAGAGCACCTGGGAACTTCCTCCTGCATCGGAGCAGCAAATCCTCTGCTCTGCAGCACAGGAGCAACAGGAACTCTGACTGACAGGAGTCCGGAGAAAGCAGCAGACGGACGGTGCAGAGTGCAGAGGTAACATTTTAATGGGGTCAGGTGCACCGACAGGGCAGGAGAGTCCGCGGGGCCGGAGCAGTCCCGGGCCCCTCGGGACCCTCCCGGCCGGGCCGGAGCAGTCCGGGATCCGGAGCAGTCCCGGGGCCGGAGCAGTCCCGGGGCCCGGAGCAGTCCCGGGGCCCGGAGCAGTCCGGGATCCGGAGCAGTCCGGGATCCGGAGCAGTCCCGGGCCGGAGCAGTCCCGGGGCCGGAGCAGTGCCGGGGCCGGAGCAGTCCCGGGCCGCTCGGACCCCCCCGGCCGGGCCGTGTCAGGGCGCGGTGCCGCTGCCGGGCTCGGCCGAGCCGTCCGCAGGGGCAGCCTCGGGCTGCTGCTCGCGCTGTCGCCGCCGGCGCAGCCTCTCGGCGCCGGTCACCGTCATGGGGTGGAGCGGCAGGAACCCCGCCAGCCCTGCCCGGGGAGACGCGGTGAGAGCGGGAGCGAGCCCGGCCCCCGCCCCCATCCCCGGCTCCCCCCCGGCCTACCCAGGAGCTTCTCGGCGGGCCGGGAGAGCTGCGCGCCGCAGCCCAGCCAGTAGCGCAGCCGCTCCAGGTTGAGCCCCGCCACCTTCTCGCCGTGCGCGTTGGGCAGCGGGTCGAGGCAGCCGAGCTGCTCCAGGTACTTCCCGTCGCGGGCGCGCCGGCTGTTGGCAGCCACGATGCGGAAGAACGGCCGGTTGGTGCAGCCCCCGAGCGCGAAGCGGATGACGACGTGGCCGCCGCGGCCCCTCAGGAGGCGGCTGCCTGCGGGGAAAGCGCGGGGCGGTCACGGGCGGACCGGGCCGGGCCGGGCCGCTCCGAGCCCGCCGCACTCACCGAGCTGCACCATGGCGGCGGCACGGCCCGCGCGCGGCGCGCAGAGATGACGTAAGGGGCACGGCCCGCGCGGTGGCTGCCGGGAGTTGGAGTCTGAGGTGGGGGAATGACGTCATTGGGGCATCCCAATAGCACGCAGTGCTGCGGTTTGTGGGGAGCACGGGCTCCCCAAAAAGGGAGGGTACGGCCCCACAGTGCCTGAGAACTCACAGGGACCGTGTGCGTGAAATACTGAAAGTGCAGAGTGTGTCATTTTTATATCTATTGACCAATAACGGCACTTTATATGAAAATGGATTTTACAATAACCCCCCGTATCTGCTGTATCGTACACAGGATTTTAGAGTATAAGAAATTCCGAATGTAGCACTATAGGGCTTTCGGATGGAAATGCAGCTCGAGGCGTGGTTTGAAGATGCAGAGGCGGGGTACGGGCGCGGCCAGAACCGCCGGGAAGGCGCGGAGCCCCGGGAGCGGAGCGGGCCCGAGGAGCCCCGGGAGCGGAGCGGGCCCGGGCCCCGGCACCGCGCAGCGGCTGCCGCCCGCCCGACAGCGGCGCATGCGCGCTGAGCTCAGGACTCGCCGGTGCCGCCTGGCGGTGAAAGGCGGCACTGTGCATTGAAACCAGTGTAAAATTGTATTCTCTCAAATGACCAAGCTGTACAGAAATGTATTTGAGGACGTGTAACTGAAAAGAAAGTGAATCACTAAAGAATAATAATAATAATAATAATAAAGATTTGTTTGTTCCCTCTTTGGCTCCTGTCTTTCTTTGGTGTTATTTGCTTTTTGTTTGTTTGTTTTGTGTTGTGAGTCTCTCCCTGTCCCTCTGCCTCTTTCTCACCCCCTTTCCCTCTTTGTGCCTCTCTGTCTCTCTCCCCCTCCCATCTTTGTCCCCTTCTCTCTCCTTTTCACCTCTCTCCCCTCTTTTCCTCTCTTTCCTCTTTGCTTTGCCTCTTTTACTCTCTCTTGTCTTTTGTCTCTTCTTGTCTCACTTTCATTTCTCTCTTGTCTTTGTCTCTCTTTTCTCTCTCCCTCTCACCCATTCCATTCTGCACTCTTGCAGGTGATCAGCACGCACAGAGAAGCTGCAGCTCCAGTGCCCTGGGCAGGGTCTGACCCTCCCAGCAGCGCTGGGACCTCGAGGATCATCCCCTTCCCACCCTCCTCCCTGCCAGGGGCAGCTCTTGCAGCTCTGGGTGCTGAGAATTTCAGACTTTCTGTGCTAACAGACTCTGGCCCCCAAGAGAACACTGCATTGACCTGAGGCCGTGGAGAAGCTTCCAAAATGGAATGACAGAACTGGGATTGTGGGTGTGCAGTTTGAATAGAAGTGTGTAATGTCACAGGGTGGGAAACTTAGAGTTTGAGGGTTTAGAATATAGTAATAGATATAGAGCAAGATGGAGACTTAGGGTGGAGGCTGCTCCTTATTCTTTACCTTCTTCTTCACCTTCTCCATGGGTTTGGGTGGTTTTGTGTAATTGGATAAAAAAGTTCCCAGTGCAGGCCACGGGTGGTTGGTTATTGGCTTAAAAGTAAAAATAATTTGCTTTCTGAGAACATGGAGTCAGATGCACCATTCCTGCCTTCCTTGGACGGTCCCTGCAAACACAACACAGCAGCTCCTCAGACTCAGAGGAGGGATCCCTGCCCTTGTCAGACACTTCACAGTGAGGTGGTTCCCTCCCTGCAGGCAGCAGGGTCAGGCTTCAGAGCTGCCCCTCCAAAGGGGGATCCCAGGGTGAGGAAAAGGCACCCCATGGACAGGCTCTGCATTGTTGTGCAGACCCAATTCTGTGCTCACCTGCCCTTGGGAATCCAGCTGCTCACTGCTCCAGCATGATGTAGCTTTACCTAGGCAGCATCTTGGATTCTTCAAGAGCCAAAATGACAAAAATAATATTAGAACTTTTCAATTGCTCTAGGTTTGCCCTAAACCCCAACTTTCCTCTTAGTAAGTGGATTGGGAGGAAACATAAAATGCAAATAGAGGGAAAGGTCATTTTCCAGATCTACCTTTGCCAATGCAGCCCTGTCCTGTGCTTTTCCTTTTCCCTTCGGAACTGCCCGAGTTTCCTCAGCAGAGGGAGCTCCAGCTTTACGTTTGCCCCCCTCGCCTTTCCCGAGTATTGCCCAGAGGAGCTGGGCGCGAGTTCCTGCTTCTGGAGCCTTCCCGGGGCAGCAGCACCCACCCACCCACCTCTGCTGGGTACCTTTCCCTGGAGATGCCACCCACCCTTCCTTGGGCACCTTTCCCCGGGCATCCCCACCCCTGCGTGGGCAGCCCCATCCAGCCCCAGCTCAGGATGTCCCCCGGCCTCACCCTGACCTGGCAGCTGCTGACAAAGGTGCCGTGGGGGGAGATGAAGTCCTGAAGGATGAAGCTGTTGTCTGAGGCGGCGATCTGCTCCCCCTGCAGACTGGGAGCAGGCAGGGGACAGGAAGGGAACGCTGCTGGAGGCGGCTCCAGGTTCATTCCTGCTTTGCCAAACCCCTTTCCTGGCCGTCGGTCCCAGCACAAACTGGTACTCCACACTTTGCACGGAGGGCTCCAGCACATCCCCTGCCCTTCATCCCCCTCCCATTTCAGGACGCTCAGCTGCCTCGGCCCCACCTGCAGGACGATGTCGGCCCCTCTGTGGCTCCCGATGGTCCCGGTGTGGGATTCCAGCTGGAAACACCCGGAGTGCTTTGGGAAGGCTCACCTTGCCTGGCTCCCTCACCTGCAAGGCTTGCACAAAGAACCAACTTCTCATTCAGCAACCTCCCACCCAACACAACCTGAGGCACGAGTGGCTCAACAACTCATGCACTAGAACTGCACAAAATAACCCCAAAAGCAGCTCTCTCCAGCTGGCAGTGTGGCTGCAGTAGCCTTGGAAACCTTGGCCATGCTGCTGCCTGCCTGGGTGAGTTTTTCCTGTTCGTTTTGTTTAGTTTAGGGTTTTTTCCTCTCCTTTTTCCAAGCAACTATCCTGGCAGCACAACACAGCTCCGTGCTGGCGTGGCCACAGCGATCCCATCAGCTGGGGACACACGTGGGAATGTGCATCCCAAACCCCACAGGGGCCCTGCCACCTGCCAGGGCTCCCAAAAAACCTTTTTGCCCCCATTTTCCTTATTTTTTATTTAATGTCATGCATACACACACAGACACACACACACAGACACACACACACAGACAGGTCTTGCAACCTCAGGCAAGGGGACAAACATTGCTGTCAGGTGGATTCTGTCACCCACGAGTGCTTCTCCATCAGTATTCCCTGGTCCTAGGCTGCCACACCTTTTTACAGCAGAAAAAAAGGGAAAAAGCCACACTTGCCACCACCAAACCCCAGCCTGGCCTCACAAGTACTGCAAGATTTCTTCATGCTTCATTTCAAGGCGGAAGCAGCAGATTTTGCAAAGTAGGGTTTCTCTGCAAACCTCTGCCAGTCTGAAGCCATTAGACCTTTCACTTCCTGCCCTTGTCCAAAACAACAGAAATTAGCAAATTCAATAGGGAATAATAATTAACAAGAGAAACTGTTGGGTGGTTTTGGCCAGCATCTCTACTCCACCTTTGCTTTGGTTTCTTGGACTCCTCTCATACCTGGTGCTGCCTCAAGCCAGCCCCAGCTGGACATGGCCCAGGGTGGACATGGCAGTGCTGGTCAGTGGCTGGACTCGATGACCTTGGAGATCTGTTCCAACCCAACCATTCCAGGATTACATCAACATCAGCATCACACTGGCAAATCCCACCTCAGACTGCCTGAGGGAGCCCGTGGCTGGATGTCCTGATGGACTCTGTGGGTGGTGGCTTTGCTGGAAGCCTGCACAGGGCTGGAATGCCCATGGAGCAGCATCTGCTGATGGATCACAGACCTTGGGAAGGGCCAACCATGCACGAGCACACAACACACACACACACAATGTAAAAAACACACACACAATGTACAAAACATACACACATCATGTAAAAAACACACAAAATGTACAAAACATGCACACATAATGTAAAAAACACACAATGTACACAACACACACACACACTCAATGTAAAACACCCACATGATGTACAAAACACACACAACACAAAAAACACACACAACATTTACAACACACACAATGTACACAACAAACACACAGAGCATACACAACACACACACAACATAAAAAACACACAGACACACAGAGCATACACACACACACACACAGAGTGTACAAAACACACAAGCAAACACAACATACAAAACATTTATTCAGAGCAGTCTGCCTGCACAGGATGCTCAGCAGTGGTTTCACCCCTGGCACTGGCACACGCAGCTCCCAACCCCCCGGAGTCACCCACTTGCCTCGAATGGAGCACGAAACACCACAGGGAAAGCAGCAGAGGCAAGAAATCCATCCTCTCCCTGAGGAGCAGGAGGCCCCTTTCAGCTGCTTCCCACCAGCCAGCAGAGACCTTGGCAGGAGTCAGGGCTGGCTCTGGGCCACCAGCCCAGCCCAGCTGGGAGCAGGGAAAGCCGTGGTGCCTCTCTGGCAATGCGCTTCCCCTTCCTCAGAAAGAAAAGACACCCAAAAAAAGAAACATTTCACTTTTCCACTTGGAAAATCCTTCTGCAACATCAGTTTGGTGGCTTGGAAAAGTCTTGCTGGAAGAGAGGGGGAGAGGAGATGAGAGGATGCACTGGGTGGTCTCATTTCAAACACCACAAGTGACACTTTTGGCATGCCCAGCCTTCATTTACTTCACAGCAGCAGAACTTGTGGCGTTCAGGTTTCTTTCCCCACAGTCTTTTGTAAAACTCAGTCTCAGGGAAAATGAGTTCCATCCTTGTGCACAGCACGTCCTCGACGTGGCAGCTTCCAGGGAGCCCTGGCTGCTTCTGCACCCACACACCAGACCCCTCTTGGCACGGTGGGTTTTAGAAAACCCTCAACAAAGCAGCATCACAGATTCCTCTTCTTTTTTTTTTTTTTTTTAAGGCATTTGCTGGCCCACTGGCATTTTCTCCTGGATCTCCTCGTACTTGGGCGGAGGGGTGAGAGGCTCTATCGTGATAGGGACGCTGCTGTTGCCCTGCTCCA